CTGGTTCCCTGTGTTAACATATGCAGTGTCTATCACTCCACTTAGCACCTTCTCTCTCACAAAGTGACAGTCAACCTTTATGTGCTTGGTTCTTTCATGAAACACCGGATTAGAAGAAATATGAACTGCAACCTGATTGTCACAGTAGAGCTTCATTGGAGTGTTAACATTGTATCATATCTCCTGTAGAAGGTTCGTTAACCACACTAATTCACAAGTAGTATGTGCCATAGCTCTATATTCTGCCTCCGCACTACTTCTCGCCACGACTATCTGCTTCTTACTTTTCCATGTCACCAGGTTACCCCCAAGAAAAGTGCAATAGCCTGTGGTAGATCTTCTATCAGACATAGAACGACCCAATCAACATCAGTATATCCTTCTATTTCAAGTTTTCCACCACTTTTGTATATCAAACCACGACTAGGAGCCCCTTTTAAATACCTTACAATTCTTAGAACCGCATCCCAATGAGGAACCAGAGGTTTCTGCATGAACTGACTTACCACACTAACCACAAATGAAATATCTGGCCGAGTAATGGTTAGGTAGTTCAGTTTACCTACAAGTCGCAAGTATCTTCTAAGGTCTTCAAACACTTCACCCATATCACTGCTCAGCTTAGTATTTGTTTCCATAGGTGTTTTAGCTGGTTTAGCACCTAACAAACCTGTTTCTTCCAACAAATCAAGCACATATTTCCTCTTACACAAATTAATAYCATRCTTAGAYYTTGCTACTTCTATCCCCAAGAAATATTTCAATTTACCAAGGTCCTTTGTTTGAAAATGTTCCTTCAGAAAAGTCTTCAACCTGTCAATGCCCATTTTATCATTCCTGGTAATAACAATATCATCTACATACACCACCAATAGGATTTTTCCTACCTAAGAGTCATAACTAAAGACTAAATGCCCGGTAATAACAATATCATCTACATACACCACCAATAGGATTTTTCCTGCCTGAGAGTCTGAAGACTGAATGATCAACTTGGCACTGTTTCATACCAAACTTCTTTACCACCTCACTGAACCTACCAAACCATGCTCGAGGAGACTTGTTTAAGCCCATAA